TTCAGGGGTTTCCAATAATAATTAATTTTCAGGCGTTTTAGGGTTTCCTGTATTCCTCGATGGTTAGTTTTGCCTTCGTGTGAAAATCTTATTATCATTTCTCTTTCCTCTGGTTTAACATTATTAATGAGTTTTGTGCATTCTACAAGCTTGAAATTACAAAAGTGTTTAGATAATGCTTCTTGAAATAAAACACGTAATTCTTTTGATAAAAAGTGCACATAGGTAGTTTTCTCTGTGAGGTTTTCTTTCAGAAAATTTACTATCGCTTCTTGTTTCGTGGGAATCGTTGCTCGGATTATCCTATTACCGTCAAAGGTTTCAAATTCTCTTTTTATGTAGGCGTCGTATGGTGATTTTTTCACAATTAATTGATTCGTTTTGTTGTTAATTATTTCGTCTAATATTGGGATTTCATTTAGGGTTTCGTCTGCGTTTGTACTATGAGCAGTGTCAGTACTGGACGTATTATCCATTGGTGGTTTAATTCGGATATCTTCAAGAATTTTTATTCGAGAGGTTGAAGGCTCTTGAGAAGTTGAAGGCACTGGAGGTAATTCAACCGGTCGATTAAGTTCGTTTATGATTTTGTTATATTCGTCAGTGTGATGTTTTTCTAGAAGATTTTTATCGATTTCGTTTAGAAATTTATCGATGTCAGTTGTAATATCTCCTGGATTATTAAGGAGAGATTCTGTTTCTAAAGCGTTGAGTGGAATTCTTGAAAGAGTGTCGGCGTTTGTATTTTGTTTGCCGCTTTTATATATAATGGTGTAGTCGTATTCTTCAAGCTTTAATCTCCATCGAATAAGTTTTGAACCTGGCTCTTTAACATTGAAAAGCCAGACTAAAGGTCGGTGATCTGTATATATTTGAAATTTCCTTCCAAATAAATACGGCCTAAAGTATTTACATGCCCAGATGATAGCGAGCAATTCTTTTTCAATTGTCGAGTATCTCTGTTCTGTTTCATTTAGCGTGCGGGAAGCATACGCCACGGGATGATCGTTGGGGGGTGTTGATTGAGATAAAACTGCACCGAGAGCTGTATTAGAAGCATCGGTTGTTAATACGAAGGGCTGTGTGAAATCAGGGTATTTAAGGATTGGGGAATTAATTAGAAGATTTTTTAAATGGTTGAATGACGATAAAAATGCTGGGGAATGTTCGACTTTAGCATTTTTCTTAAGACATAATGTCATTGGCTTGGCAATTTTAGCAAAATCCTTTATAAATCTTCTATAGTATCCAGCTAGTCCTAAAAATGATTTGATATCTTTTGGTGTTTTGGGTATAGGAAAGTTTTTTACAGCTTCTATCTTATCTGGATTGGGTTTCACGCCTTCTTTGGTTATTAAATGTCCAAGGTAATTGACTTCTTTGTGTAAAAATTCGGACTTATCCAATTGAATCTTGAAATTTGATTGTCTGAACCGTTCAAATATTAGTCTCAAGCGTTCTATGTGCTCTTGGAGTGATTTACTGTATATTATGACGTCATCCAAGTAAACGCAACATATTTCGTTCTGGAGGCCACGAAGAACGTTGTTCATCACCCTCTGGAACGAGGCGGGGGCGTTTCGTAAACCGAAGGGCATACGTTTGAACTCGTAATGTCCTGTGTCGGTGGAAAATGCTGTTTTGTGTACGTCTTCCGGTTCCATCTCTATTTGGTGGAAACCATTTGCTAGGTCCAACGTCGTAAAGTACTGAGCTTTACCTAGTCTATCTAAAATATCAGAGATGTTGGGTAATGGGTACTTGTCTTCGATTGTTTTGTCGTTAAGTTTTCGGTAGTCAATTACTATTCTCCATTTTCTTGTACCAGATGCATCTAGCTTTTTTGGTACTATCCAAATTGGGCTAGACCATGGGGAATTAGATGGTTGTATTATACCATTTTTCAACATCTGGTCCATTTGGGTGCTGACTTCCTTCTTATGAATCTCAGGGTATCGATAAGTCTTTGTAAAAATAGGTGTTTCATTTGTAAGATTGATTTTATGTTTGATTTGATTCGTAAAAGTCAATGGAATACCTTCACAGTAAAATATGTCTCGGTATTCATAACAAAGATCTCGAATCGCTTGATATTCTTCTTGATTACAGTGGTCTAAACGTAAGTTCTTCAAATTTTGTTTTAGTTTCATATCATTTGGTTGATTTACTTCGATATCCATATCGGTTTCCATTTCCTCGATAAAATTATTTTCAATTTCGTTTATAGGTTCTACTTCAAATGGTTCTGTGAAACTAATTTTTTATTGGGTTTTCACATAAATTCGTAATTGTTGTCAATGCAAAATTACTTTCAATTTGTACCAAGGCTTCTGGCATTTCTGCGATATCATCAAAGTTAATATGGTTTAGTATTCCTATTCCATCTGTTTTGTTTACAGGTACTTTAACCTTTTGTGAAACACGAGGAGGTATAACAGTTTCATATGACTGTGTGGGCTCCGTTGTGTTTTGTGGGAAAAATAATTTGTTTTGAAAATGCAAGGGTAAATTTACTTGTGACGTTTCGAGTGCAAAATTCTTTAGATTTATTTTGGCACCGATATCGATTAGAAAATCGACACCTATCAAACCGTCGAATTTATTAGAGAAATTAAACAAGTAAAATTTGTGGTAACCATTTTTTTTTGAATGATGGAAAAATGGGTATATTTATGACTTCGTCATGTATTGATGTTGCATGAGCAGTTTTTACAGTGAAATATTCATTAGAAATGAATTGAGAGTAAACTTGGTATGCTAATTGCGGATTGATGAAACTTTTTCCGCCTGCCTGTGTCGACTAAGAACTTAGCATTTAATTCGGGGATAATTATTACAGGCAAATCTGAAGTACTATAGTTGTTGAGGCATATTACGTCACATTGGGGTAATTGGGCGTAATCTGAAAATTTTGGTATTGGGAATCATCGATATTTGTTTCATTATAGTCATTATTAGTGTTGTCATACATGTTTGTACATATAATCATATGGAACATTTGTATGAGTTGAACATTTCAGAATTTGGCATTTGGTAATAATTACTGAAATCCAATTGTTCGTCATTATTGGGAGTAGAATTAACGTCGATATTTGTGTCTTGAGTTTGAGTTTCGGTGATAGTATTAGGGGACAAAGTATTTGCGGATTGGTTCGAAAGTTCTTGCACAGTGAAATTATTCAGGCGAGATCTTTGAACTGTATTTGGTCTTATAGTGACACCAGACGATGTGTCCATTGGTTCTGGAGCACTATTGTTTTGGGTGATATTGGGTCTTTGGAATGGTCTATTGAAATTATTGAAGTTTTGAGGTCTTTGGAATTGGTTATTGAATGGCATATTTGGGAAAGGTCTTGCAAAGTTTTGGTTGTTAAACGAATTATTTGGTCGATAGAAAGGATTATTAGTGAATGGTGTTATAGGCATTCTTGGAATATTAGCAGCATAATTTCCAAGTGTATTGTTAAAACTTGATTGAGGCTTACTTTTATTATTGACGTTGTTATTAGGTATATTTCTTGAGCTTTGATTAGACCTGTTTCTATATTGTATGAAATTCTCTTCTTCTCGTACAAATGCGAGAGCTTGTTCAAGAGAATCTGGGTCTTTTAATCTTACCACTAACTGCATATGGTAATTTAAGTTGTTAATAAAAGTTTTTAGACACAGATTATCAAATTGTTCGATTTTTAGAATTTTCATATTATTAGGATCGTTTGAGCTATTAATTTTAGCAAATAACAAACTTCTAGAATCTTGCAATTTTAATCCAAAAGAATGTAAGGATTCGTTCTTGTCTGGTTTCATATTAATGATATCTTGGACAAGGCAATCTTCAGTTCTTTGGTCAGAAAATGTGACAATTAACGAATCTTTAATTTTCTGCCAGGTATCGAGTTCCGTGCGAGAAGCAATTAATTCGGCAGCTCTACCTGTCAATTTACAAATTACCGTATCGAACAAACAGATGTTTATTGGATCTGCGGCATTTTGTCGATTTTGGTGATTCTGTAGAAAATGTTCACATGATGTTAAAAATCTGCCAAGTGTTTTGGTGTTACCATCAAAATTTGGAATATTATCGGCTTGGTATCTAATAAGCTGATAATTTGGGTTGGCCATATTAACAAGATTTTGAATCTGATTATTAGGTTGAAATTATTGTTAAAAATGTTTATAAGATTGTCAAGCTCGTTATCACCTTCCAGATCGAACAAATATATACCAATAAAATCAAAAAATATAAAAATAAAAGGAAAAGAATAATGGGATCACTTACAGCAATATCAGATTGATCTTGAAGTACATGAATTTATCTTCTATGGATTTTGGACGATGTAGTTCCGCTATCCGCACCAATAGGATTAATGGACGATTTTTGTTCCGATCCCTGGTCGCGAGTTCACTGATTGTCAAAAGTCTTTCGTATACCACGAACGTATATTTCGATTTGACGGTAAATCGTTAGCACGAAAAGACGATGGTTTTTTTACGGCCCGCAAAATCCAAATTTTCGACTGAACCGGACTGTTTTTTACCGAAGTCTCCGTCAAAATCCTACCGACTGCGCCACTTACGAGGGGTGTACACGAGAGAGCGTTTTTAAAAAACTTTATTTGACTAATACAATAGAACTGACTTAAATCTAGAAATTACTCCTTTTATAATATTAAAAATAAGCTGAATAGAACAATATAAATGCTGAATTGGAGTTCTCACGGGATATAACTCATACGACTTTTTTTTCAAATTAACTCAAAGAAAATGCTAAATCGTATTTTCTAAATAAACATCTATTTTATTGGTTTAAAAACTAAAATAAACAAACTAATACGTTTTCATAAATTCATACAAAAGGATCAGGTCAACTGCACCTACAAGACTATTTTTTATAAGTAATAAACACTGAAAAAAACGAAAATAACTAGAGTTTCTAAGTGTAAAATAATTAAGAAATAAGAAACCATATGCTTTTTATTTAATTGTGCAAGAACTTACAACTAATCTGTTTCATCATTAGTTTTAGCAAGGTTTCGCCAAAATGCCATTCTATTTTCGGGAATTATATCAGCCAATTTATTAATAATATTATTTTTTCTTTCCGAGGTGATTCCCCTTTCCTTTTCTTTTACCGCCGGGCCAGGTAAAGTGGAACATTTATAATATTTTGCCATTAAAAACTTCAAATCTATAAAATCTCCATGAAATGAAGTTTTATATTGGAGATGTTTTTCTCCTTTGTTGAAGCGAACAAATACCATATCACTAAGATAAGGTCTAGGCACAATTTTTTTCAAAGTTTGCTGATATGTGTAATCTGTGAAAGTATAAAAACCATCCAGCTTAACCTCCTTAAGATTAACTTTTTTAGAATTAGAGGATTTTACGCAGTCCAAGAAATCCTGAAAATCGTATACTTTCAATTTGGTGATGAAAAGAATCACTTGACATGAATGTATGGCCACTTTGGAAATACTTTATGTCTAAAGTTTGTAGATTAAGCAAGCTCGAATTGATAATATAAACGAAAAATGAAAAAAGTGACCAATTTTTGTTCTGAACGGCACAGTTATCTAACGAAACTGTGATGTGCTTCGCATCTCTAAAACATAAAAGAAAGTTATAAAAAATTGATACAAGGTCATCTTTGCTGCGGCCAGAAATTGCTTCGTGCCAAACAAAAGCATAGGGATAATTTTCTGGTCCTGATGTCTTTTTACAACTGGTACGAACGTTGCATTAAAAACAATTAATCGGGGGATAAATATGACTTCTTTAAACATGTCACACCTTGGAAGCATAATGACCTAAAATAAGGAAAAAAAAATAACTTAAAAAGGGTACTAATTGATAAAATTTCACCTTTTGTAGGTCTGCAGAGAAACATAATTCATCCTCTTTAGCGCCATCCTTTGCGTACTCTTTACGTGCTTCCCGATATTTTTGTTGGTGCTCTTTCCATGTTGTACATTCTTGACAAGTGTCTTCTGCGGTTTCTTTGGTATGTCCTGTGGCTTTAGAATGCAAAGAAAACGTTTCACAAGCGAAACATTCTTGATGTCCTAGTTTAGTGAAGGAAATGTTCATTGCTGCAACCTCTTTGCGATATAGTTCATATATGTTCATCCCATGTTTTAATTTGAAATCGTCATACATCATTTTTATATTAATATCAGTTGGCAGATATAATCTTAGAGGTGCGTGTTCTCTCCGATAATGATGAATGCTTGGGTTAAAAGTCTGGATATGGTCTCTTATAATATCTGTATTAACTTTATTTGCTCTTTTAAATTGTCCACGGTTATCGATTTTTGGTTTAAGGGATGAAGTGTCTTCACATATGTGCCTCAAAAAGATCATAGCCAACTGTGGCCAAAGAAAAATTCTTACAAACTGCATGGTTCTTTCCTTCTTAATCTGGTAAGAAATATTTTAAAGTAAAATTTCTTCTCGAACCTTCTGCAGTCCCAACATTAGATGTAGTAGTTTTCCTTTTACATACCGTTTTTTCAACTTTACTAAATATAAAACTTTTTTGTTCCTGCTTATTTAATTTCCAGTACTCTGTGTTAATGTATTTTTGTCTGTCCCTGTTTATGTTTTTTTGGCATAATTTCTTGCAGTTTTCGTTGCAGTTTTCTTTTAAATCATGCTTATCAACGATCTTTATAAGTTTCATTTTCTTCCTATCTTTAAGGGGTATATCATACCTTTTTCGTTTTCTTACAGTTCCCTCTTTTGTAAAATTTAGTTGTCGTTCTACGCCTACTACTTTTTCTACAACTTCCGTTAAAATAGTTCTGATTATATCATTTTCTTTAATCACAGACAGGGGTAAATTATCGTCACTTTCATAGTTTTTGTCTTGAAAAGGTTGTAAACTTGGTTTCAAAGACACATTTGGTGCTATAACGATTCTCCGGCTAGCTCAAAAATAGAATAGTCCTACTAAGTTATTGCATGAGACTCTAAGGGCTGTAATTTCTTGTTCTGTTGGATTATAGTAAACACCTCAATGAAAGACAGAAATAACATTTACTCAAGTAGATATATATTATTATATGAATCAAATAGTACATATTACAGGAAATGTGAGAGTAGTTGGTACCTACAATTTAATGTAAACTGATAAGAAAACTTGTTTCTTCAATTAAAAGGTGCACCCCATAGATTTATTAAATTATTCACTCTCGGTGATATCAATAATACCCTAAAGTTCAACTCCTATAATGATAAATTAGGAATCAAAATACCTACTTATCTATGTAAAACTTTGGCGAGCTAAGCTCCCACTTGAATATTATAAACAATTAAACAAGATCCGTACAATTACGGTTAATACCTAACTTAGTCAAGTACTTGAAGTTTTGGAATTTCCCTTGATTCGAGAAGAAAAATAGCTAAAGTTATCTTACTTGAGACGTCGTTCACAATTACTTCTAGTTGACTGCGTGACTGGGTTTCAAACCAGAATAGGCCTGACGGAAGAGGATTGCAACTTGTGACTTCGCTGCAGCAGTCCCCTATTCTGGATTCAAAAACTTGAATCTTGAAAAACTTGAAAAATCCTTGAAAACTTGAAATCTTGAAAAGCCTTGTGGTGGTGCCTCTCTCCTAACTCGGACAACGTAGTTGCCGGGTGGCAAGAAATCCAAAGTTCCAACAAAATCCCTACTAAGGTAAAACAGTTCCAACAACGTGCAACAAAGCACCGGCAAAACAGCCTCAACGAATTTAACAGAACTATTTTATTTGTGTGCTCAGTAAAATAAATCCCACAATGGATGGAAACTTGGCCAAAAATTTACTTGTACATGGACTTTGGATTTCTAAAATGGGTCTAGGAACAAGATGTCGGTGGTTCTAGAAGGTTTCGAGAAGAAGAAAGATGCGCCATGCACACGAAATAACGTCAAGAGAAAACAAGGTTGCTACAGCGAGCAGCAACACCAGTGAATTGAACTTCGGAATTGGTCCGAATTTCGAAAAACCCGAACGTTGCCACTGAACTCTAAATTAGACATTTGATATTTTTGTCCTGTCTCTGGTTGGAGCAACATAACCCTAATAAAATAAAAACATATTTGGATATTCGTAGGCATTATTTGGATTTTGATAATTAAATAATTACATCTTATATCATTTGCATTTATTTAGAAGTCCTTATACATATTTAAAAGATGGACAAAAACGGTAAGCAAACCTCCGCAGTGTTAAGTAAATATACATACAAAAAATTTTACCCACAAAGAATTAATTATTTATTGATAACGAACTTTTATGCTAAAGTGCGAGATGGCTGTGGTTCAAACATCTAGCATTGCAGCTACATAATTTCTGTAGTTAATTCCAACCTCATTTATTTCATCTTCTGGAATCGGATCATCAATTGGAATATCTAAATTGTCTTTGAGATCTTCCTGCTCTCCCATACCATCAGCAATGCACATGGTATGTAGTACACAATATGCATGAATGAAATGACAAATAAAACTGACATTTCTGGGTTTTAAGTGATACAGTTGCCTAAACCTCTGCTTAAGAAGCCCTATCGTATGTTCAATAAGAACTCTGCAATGCCTCGGCTTTTTATTAAATTTTTTATGTACATTTGTAAGATTACCCGTGTCTTTATATGGTGTTAATAAGTGTCTTAAGCAGGGGTAGGCACTGTCTCCTAAAAGAAAGAAATCTTGGCGTTTTGCAGCCAGAGTTTGGGCTAAGGGGCTAGTCCGGATGACTCTAGCATCATGCACGCTGCCTGAGTATCCAATAAATACATCCCTTATTTTCCTATTGTGGTCACAGACTACTTGAATCTGCAAAAAAAACACACTATTCAGTAGGTGAATAATAATTTTCAAATTGTGTGAAAATGAATATTGTCACGGCTCTCGGTAGTGTGACAGAAATCTTGGGTTCGTTTATTCCAAAATCAAAGTCCAATTAACACAGCAATAATTTATTCCACGTGACTATATACTCTGACACTAATTACTCCACTACTTAACTCAACAAATCAACTCTTTATAACTCTCAACAATAATCACTATCTCAATCGTATTACAGTCAAACTTAAATTTAAAACTGCTAACTAGTAACGGTTTTTATATATCCCTGTATATTCCGGAAGAACCGCGATCGACCTTGTTCCAATGAAATCACGAATCAGCTGTGGATTCTCGACATCCTGGCTGCGCCGTCACACTGCCCTCCTCTTAAGGTTCACGCCCATGATATTTCGTCAATCTGTTTAGATGTACAACTTTCATATTACTCCTAGTGTTGCGCTGAACTCGATAAACCGAATCATTGATTCTCTTGATTATTCTGTAGGGTCCTTCGCATGTTGAAGACAATTTCGGCGACACTCCTTTCTTGCTAGCTAGATTATACAGCCACACTAAATCACGTTCTTGAAATCCGGCTGAATTGACCTTCAAGTCGTATCTGGTCCTAATTCGGTCACTGGCCGGCTGAATGTGCTCCCGAGCAAAATCATATATTGCCCGAAGTCGTGCCCTCACTTCGTCGGCATAATATGGAATTTCTATTCGGTATTCCAAACATCAGATCGAAAGGTAACCTGAGTTCCCTTCCAAAAACAATTCTAGCTGGACTTTCACCTGTTGATTCGTGAAAAGCTGCTCTGTAAGCCATTAAAAAATGAGGCAAGTGTTTGTGCCAATCTCGCTGGTTCTTTGGGATCACTTTTGACAGGTGTTCCTCTATAGTCTTATCAAATCGTTCTACCATGCCATCAGACTGTGGACGTAAAGGTATTGTCCTTGTATGAATGCCCATGATCTCACAAACCTTTTTTAAACATGGCAGATTCGAAGTTTCGTCGCTGATCTGAATATAACTCTAGTGGCACACCATGACGACTAAAAACTCCGTCCACTAGCACCTGGGCAACAGTGATGGCTTCTTGATTAGGAATAGCGAAAACTTCTGGCTATTTACTGAAGTAATGCATGCATGATAACCAAGATGTATTTGTTACCACGCTCTGACTCAGGGAACGGTCCGGCAACATCTATCGCTATTATTTCAAATGAGAGACCGACATTATTCTGTTTCATGGGCCCCCGAAATCTTACTTTAGGGCCTTTACTGGTGGCCCAGATGTCGCATTTTCGGCACCTGTTTATAACGTCTCCATCGTAGTGAACCCAGTAAAAACGTTCCCGAATTTTGTCCAAAGTCTTGTTAAATGTGCCCCTGCAGTTCCGCCATGTTTTTCTTTTAATACATCTTCTACTCGGTCTTTTGGGATAACCAGTTGGATCTTAGTGGATTTCCCACTACCAGAGGGCTCTATTGGGCCCACAACGCCTTGTAAATCAAGCTCTTTTTCGACACATCCCTCCATTCTGGCCTATATCATTTTTTTTAGAATGTAGAATTTGCCCGATGTCCTGGTCTGCCTCCTGATCTTCTCTCATTTGTTTGGTAGTCCATTTGTCATCAACAATCAAGCCCGTTCTTCTCACAGCTGGACTAGTGTTTTTCTCATGCATATCGATTCTTTGACAATGCTTGCAATCTTCTTTACATGGCCGTCTAGACAGAGCGTCAGCATTTTTATGCAGGTTTCCAGGTCGATGTTTAATTTGGAAATCGTATTACTGCAATTTTTCAATCCATCTAGCAAGCTGTCCTTCAAGAGTTTTCATTTCTTAAAACCATTTTAGAGCTGCTTGATTCGTTCGCTTTAATAAGGTCGTGCTGTAATACTCTACAACATGATCTTGTGAATTTTGAATTTGTGAAAGTACCGCTCCAACACTGGTGTTGCTTGCATCTGTGTCCAAAATCAGCATGCCTTCTGATCGGAATAGGAAAACACTGGGCTTGTACATAATGCTGCTTTTAATTTTCTAAATGCGAAATTGCATTCTTGGGTCCAATTGAATGCTGATTTTTTCTTTTGTTAATCGATGAAGCGGAACAGCTATATTGGTGAATCCTTTCACAAATCTTCGGATAATAAGAAAGAACATAATCCTAGAAAACTCCTTAGTTCATGTTTGTCGTGTGGTTTTGGCCAATCCCTGACAGCATTTATTTTTCCTTCCATAACTTGTATGCCATCTTCAGATAGCACGTGACCTAAGAATTCCACTTTCTTTTGAAAAAGAAAACACTTATTTGGGTTGAGTTTCAAGTTGGCATTCCGGAAGTCAAAAACTTCTTTCAGGTTATTGAGATGTTCTTGGAACGAATTTCCCATGATCATCTAAATATACCAGGCAAATTCTTTATGTAAGGCCTCGCAAAACGCATCAGTCGCTCAAGTGTACCGTGAGCATTACACAATCCGAAAGGCATTACGTTAAACTGGTATAACCCGCTTCTGGTACTGAAGGCAGTTTTCTCTTCGTCATCTTCGTGTATTGCCACTTGCCAGTATCCACTTTTAAAGTCCAAGGTGAAAAACCATTTGAAGCCCGACAGAGTTTTTAATGTATAGTCCATCCTCGGAAGAGGGAAGCTGTCCTTTTTGGTGACGTCATCAAGCTTACGGTAATCCACACAAAATCTAAGACTTCCATCTTTCTTGGTAACCAATACTACTGGCGCAGACCATGGACTATTTGACGCTTCAGTAATTCCCTCTTGAAGCATTTTAGCAATTTCGTTTTCCACTCCCTGTTGTTTAGTTACTGGCATACGTCGAGGTGGTTGTCTAATTGGGTGTGCCAATCCAGTATTATTTTGTGTTGAATTTAACTAGTCCATCTGGTTTGATTATCCATCACAAATACGTCTGCTTCTTTCAAGAAGAAATCTGTGGCTTCTTGAAGTCTATCTGGATCGAGATGTTTCCATGATTTCGCCAAAG